CATATTAGTTACAATCCTTATTTACGCCCCTGACCAGGAGTGTAGCATAAATCTTACCTTCTCCTTCTTGTCTAGTTTGCAGTTTAATGGGATATCAGCCAAAGATGTAATGCAAAGAAAGTTATTTCAGAAGTGTACGCATCTTTTGTACTACAGTGTATTGTCTCTGGGCGGTAAAGTAAACACAAGACGGATCCATTTTTCACATAAAAAATCAATGAAATATTCTTGTCGTAGGAAACTATTATGTGAATTATCAAAATTATCAAATTTAATGCTTTTAACCTCCTCGGATACTAAAAGAACACTGATGCATCTATTATTGTTTACAAATTCCGCCCAAAGAGAACTGGTTTCAATTTGTACGCAGAGTATACACGACCGCAATTAACTTTCCTTGCATTACACCCTTGATATCAGCTATCATTGGACAAAACGCGGTTGAATTTCACCAAAAAGATCGATTAAATTCAGAGAACATTTTAAGCGTGAATTTCAGTCTGAAGAAGAAGAATAATACCTGTTTCATCTTTTCTCTTCTTTCTCTCATCATTGGTTTCATCATTATTTTCCTCAAGTGAAAGATTCTCCTGAAAAAAAAACTATTTTTTTTCCAGTAAAAGATTCTCCTGAAAAAATTTTTTTTTTTTTTTTAAAAATGTGATCTATTTTTTCCCCTCTCTAGAAGTATAAATAGATAATAGCTTTATATTTGGAAGAATCTGGAAAGATGTTCTGACCAAAAAAATCTTACTAACATTATTGTATTTTAAAGTTTTTAGGTAATCCTAATTCGAGAATCTATCTAATCTATAAACTGAAACTTTTTTTACTTTCCAGGGGGTGGAAGGCTTAGCTCGCAAAGGTGAATCATAGTTTTCAATTATTATCTCCTATCCCTAAAGAGGATACTGCATCCCTATAAAAATTCCAGGACAATATTAGGAAATCAACAAGGAACGCATATGTCCCTAGTTTGGACCGCTTAGACGTCTAGACGAAAATGCGGGAAATTTAAAAATATTTTAAAGAAGATTTTAAACAAAATTTGTTCTTTATCTGCCAGAATAAAAGAAGTTCTAAAGCTAACAATGGTTGTTTAAAATATTGAAAAGGAAACTAGGAAACAGGGTCAAACTCATATCTTTCATTTTATTACAAGTATTGTTACGCAAGCTGTATAAATTTTCTTTACAATACATACATCCTACAGTATACAATGAGACTCATAAATCGGTGGAATAGGAAGACGACATTTCAGCAATCTTATTAGTATTTGATCTTCTTATGTAGCAACACATATTACCCATACCTTGAAAATTTCCTAGTAAAGTGAAATGGGTCTGTATAGTGTACATTTTACGATTGCTTTGTGTCATGTTCAAATTGGTATATTTAAAATCATAAACCACCTTTTTTGGTTCTTTCTGTATAGATCATACAGAAATCATAAATAACGTAATTATATCTTTTGTTCTAATTAAAAAATATATATATTTTAAAAAGAAGAAGATAATATTTATTATAAGACTTCCGTGTTGAATTTAAAGAAGCTTGAAGATGAGTTTGCAAAACTCATTCATCCCTTAAATATGAATGACACCTAAATTTGTTTTTCTTCTCAATTGACAACATGTTTATTATTGTTAGAATTGTGTCATATAACTGTTCGAATATGATGATGTGTGAGGCTAATTGTGACGTCATTTGAGGATATTAGGTAATGTTACATCGTCTATACGCAACATCCCCCCTACTGAACTTCTGACCTACTAACTTTCCGACCTATTGCAATATCGGACCTACGCCAGCTGTTTATTTTAGTATTATTTGAGGGTTAGGTTAGGTTAAGACAATTTCTGGGCCGAGCGCTGCGGCTAGGACAGGCTAGGGGGCCGAGCTCCGCGGCTAGGACATGCTAAGGGGCCGGGCCCTGCGGCCACAAGTCCATATAGTAGCTGTAATACCACTTGCTAGTAAGTCGGATGTGTGGTATAGCGGATTTGGCGTAGGTCAGAAGTGGAGTATGGCGGATATATGTAGGTCGAAAAATACACCACCTTTTATCTTTTACCTTTTATGCTTCGAAAACGACATTTCCCGCACATTGGAGCGCATCTAGAGTAAGCAACATTATTATACAACCTCGTTAAAACCGGGGATGATAGTTTTCTACCTGTATGCTCAGGTAGCTGTACAACTGTTTACTAATGATGATATACTATAGGTTAGGCCAGAATCTGCTTATAATAATCAAATATGCAGTACGTTTTCGGTATAGTTCCCGGTCTATACAATAAGTAAAGAATTAGCGTACATCATCACTCTATACACTATAACCTCGTTGGTAAAACCCTACTATTATTTGGATTATCATTCCCTCCTTGGCTTGAACCAATATAAGAACTTGGCTTGTCAAACACACGATGACATTATCACATTCAGGCATATTGTAACTTAATGATTCATTTGCTCCTTCGAAGGTATTGCAAATAAATAAAATAAAGAACGTAAGAATATTAACAAATTATGAAAGACTTCCTGTTTTCTCTAACCTTGATTAATATTCCGAACCCACATAATTAACGCTTCAAAGACAATGCACTCTGTGTCTATATTGCACGTGACGTATAATCAGTCTACTGTATACTTTTTAACCTTTTTATACGCTAAGTCTATGATTATCTTATTTGTATACAACTCACACGGTTACTCACAAAAAATTAGTCTTTTTCCGTAGATACAGAGCGTCCAATATCATATTAGATTATCTCCAATCGTTAACGCAAAAATACGCACTAAATACTGCAAAAAATATTCTATTGCCCCTATTGAAGTTTTTAAAATGATTCATTCTTCTTAAATTTTCTAATTTGTCCCCCAAACCGTAATTTAGACCCATTGACGCGGTTTAATTTGATGTGGGACACCCTGCAGTAATTTAAAACGTAGATTCAATTTGGTATTTTGCGTTATTTGATATAGTTTGAATAATATTAAATGAAACTATAATTCTCACTCGCATTTGCTTGTATAAACATTAATTAATATAAGACTGATTTTGCATGACTCTAACTATAAAGTCTTATATTTTTGTAACCCTTGTATGTTTTCATCTAGACCTACCTTCTCCGTATATTTGGCATTCTTCTTAAACAAACTTGCGCGTTATTTTAGTTCCAATTCCAATTTTGTTATTTTTATTTATGATGACAGCATATTTTGATGGCTGATAAAAGTCAAATCAAATTTACTATTTTAAGAATGTTAAATAAAATTTGCAATTGGGACGGTGTTATTTTGAATTCTTAATGGTGTATTCAATAATGATAAAAGCGTAAGTTATGTATTATTATGTATGGATGGAGTATGCAATATGCATGTTTAGTTAAATTACTCGAGAGTGTTTCCTTGAATACGATTTATCCATGGTTTCCCTGTCCATGTATTGCAGTGTGGTCTCTCATTGTTAAACTTTTTTCTGCCGACTCATGGTGTACACTGTTCCGCATGTACAATACAGGAATTAAAGGGAAAATGGAATCTTTGTATCGGATATTGAATACAAGATGGTGGGGAATACAAGATGGCGGGGATGAAAAGATAGTGGAAGAAGAAAAGATGGCGGGGAATAAAAGTTAGCAGGGAATACAAGACGGAGGGAATGCAATATAGCGATGATGGAAAAATAGCGGAGAACAAAAAGAAGCGGGGAATAAAAGTTGACGGGAAATAAATGGTAGCGGGAAATAGAAGATGGTGGGAAATACAAGATAACGGGGAAGAAGGTAGGGAACACAAGATGGTAGGTAATACAAGATGGCGGGGAATACAAGATGGCGGGTAATACAAGATGCTGATGTTTGGAAGATACCGGAGAATAAAAAGATGGCGGGGATAAAGGATGGCGGGAAATAAATGAAAGAGGCCGTACTGAACCCGGAACCAGCTGATTCAATCAGAATATTCAATATCATCGTTGTAGAACTGATACCACGCACTGAAACCTCTAGTGCATGACACAACTCTTAACATTGTTATGATGTAGATGAAAAGATGAAAAGAAAAATGTTTGACTATATAGCTAGGGGTTGGTCCATGTTTGGTTTTAATTATTGGTTGAATAGAATATTCTGAATCAAATGTATAAGCAATGAGTATATCTTACCTTAAAATATTTATTTAGAAGTTTAAAAGTTTAGATTTAATGCTGAGGGATTATTATAAAAATTTCGGAGTTTTGGTATGACGTTCGGAAACTAGTTTGTATATAGTACACAGCAAACACGTAGTTGGAAGTTGGATATCAGATTGGAAATTCTGAGGTAATTAGATTAGAAGTACAGAAATTAAATTAAAAGTGTAAAGATTAGAGCAGAAGTACAGATATTAGATTAGAAGTACAGTGATTAGATTAGAAGTTCAGATATTAGATTAGAAGTACAGAGATTAGATTAGAAGTGCAGATAATAGATAAGAAGTACAGAGATTAGATTAGAAGTACAGTGATTAGATTAGAAGTTCAGATATTAGATTAGAAGTACAGAGATTAGATTAGAAGTACAGATATCAGATTAGAAGTACAGAGATTAGATTAGAAGTATGCAGAGATTATATTAGAAGTTCGGAGATTAGTTTGTAGGTTCGGAGACTAGTTTGTAGGTTCGGAGATTTGTTTAAAGTACATGAAATAGATTCTAAAATTAAAGATTAGATTGTAAGTTTGAAGATTAGATTAGACGTTCGTAGAATAAATTAGAAGTTCAAGATTAGATTTGAAATTAGAAGAATAATTTTTAGATGTTTTAAGATTATTTTAGAAGTTTTGAGATTAGTTTTGGAAGATGTAAGATAAGTTTAGAAGTTTGGATACTAGTTTAGAAGTTCTAAGATTTGTTTGGAAGTTCAGAGATTAGATTATAAGTTTGCAGATTAGTTTGGAAGTTCGTAGATTTTTAAGAAGTTTTGAAGATTTAAGATTATGGATTAACGTAAAGATGGCAAAATATGAAGAAAAAAAGTTTCCGAATAAGTCAGAAACTTTGGAGATTTGAATGCAAATTAGAAGTGAGTAGATTAGTTCTCGAGCTAATCAGCTCTGGGTCAAAGTTGAAACAGATGCAATTTTCCGCAATTTATTCCAACCAAACAAAGCGGAAGGTCCAGCAAAAACACTCATTATAGATCATAGTGATTAGGTTTAAACCTGGAGAAAGAAAGCCAAGAAAGAACTAGGAATGATAATGATATGATAAGACGTAATCCGACATTCACATTCCAGAGGGCAAGAACTTTAATTCGCTAATAAAACTGCGGAAGGATAAAATCAGAGGAGGAGGGAGGGGCCTGAGGAAGAGATTTGAGAAGTAAATTAGTCTGTACTCGCCAAAACATTGTATATTTATTTGCCTTTTAACTGTTTGAGTTTGGTCTCGCTAATGGGCTTTAAAAAATACTTTAAATAAGAAAAAGCGATAAACTGTTCACAATTTGTTTGTGTTTAGGACTGAAAACAATCTGACGAAGAACATTTTTAAATTGGCTTCAAAAAATTAGAAGATCAATTTTAAATTTAGATTTTATCAGTATAGGTACAAAGTAAAATTCAATACTTCATATTTATGTCTAGATTAAGGAATAGAATTCAAACCATTTACAATACAACCCCCCCCCCCCCCCCCCCTCCTCCTTGTTCATGACAATGCAGAAAATCCTCTTAATAAGGACTAAATTGATAATAACTGCTCATTTTTCTCCGAACTAAAGAATAATTGACAATTATCAGAATTATGTCTGATGGTATGTCCTTGGTTTTATTAACATAACCTTAAACCCCCTCTAGCATGGTCATATTAACTCTAGACGCCGAATATTTTTATCAAGCTTATAAAAGGAATTGCAGGTCATGCCGCAAACTTTTATTTTCTTATCCCTATATCTTTGCAACCCAATGTCGTAGACCTTAGATATTTAAACTTTAAAATATGTTTAATCAAATAATTTACGTTTGAAATGTAAAAAATTTACAGCGTTCCTTATCTTGACTCAATTCCTGAACAGGAGTGTCTGAATTTGATAATTTTATAGTTTAACACGTTTTAAATCTTAATTAAACTGATATTCGTTTTTTATAGTTTTAACCTGTGCACGTTTTTAATTAAATGTACAAAACTCATTTTTCTATAGAGTTACTGATAAGAAAAACATTCTTCATATTCAACCAGAGATTTTCTTACTTTTGGGTGTATTTAAAAACTAAAGGAGTTACTAGGTCGCAAATTCGTACTAGTAATTTCGTATGATATGAATATTCTTACTTATATCTAGATTGAATAGTGTTACAAAAATAGATTATCAAGTATAGGTGGCAACAGAGAAATGGACCAATTATACACTACGTCACAAGTGTCAAATATAACAAGGAACACAAAATTTTCTCACATTAGTTGACATGTTTTCCAAGATTAAATAAAAAAGTGTAAAAATAGAAAATAAAGAACACATCAAATTGCACTTATTTTACTGTAAGACAATCTATTTGGTGTTGCAAGTTTGCTCTTGAAAACATTGGGGCCGTTATGGGTTTGTAAATCTGCTCAGTGAATCCCATTTTCTTCAATTCATGACAACACCGCGTAAGTATGGGACGAAGGATAGTTTTCTCTCCCCATCCCTTAGAATTTGGCTTGTCTTGGTGTTTGTCTGTCTGTTTGTTTGTATCCAATAAACGTCAAAACGGCTGAACCGATCGGGCCCAATTTTTTTGTGGGACATCATGTGACCACAGGAAAGGTTTATGAATGATCAAAATTTCAAATATTTGTATCCATCAAAATTCGATCTTCATTAAATTGTTGAAAATTTTGAAAATCCACGAAATTTTTTGTGAAAATCCGCGAATTATTTTTGTTTTGTTTTACGATGTACACAAAGAAAACATGTTCACAATTAATTTAGAAGATGGGCGCGAAGCGCCCTCTAAGGCTAGTCCCATAGAAAGCTTTAAAAGTTTCAGATTCTGATACAGATAAAAATAGTACAAAATGTTTTGGCTTTTGAAACTATCAAAGTTTCAGATTACCCCCCCCCCCCTTGGAGAAAGTCTTTTATACGCCCCAGAGAATAAGAAAAAAGATAATTACTCACCAGACATGTTTCCGACAAATCGGAAGAAAGACAAGTAAAATCCTCCGCTAGAATGTCATCTAAGAAATCGTCGCCGCTTCCTTCCATTTCGTCGGAGCTGATCTTCTTTTTAGTTTTTTTAGCATTCTCTCCACCAGAGCTTTCTACATCTTCATCGTAACTTTCTTCAGTTTCTTCATTGCTTTCTGTCTCCTCTTTTCCAGAACTTTCTTCTTCTTTTTCGGAACTTTCTTCGCCTTTTTCGGAGATTTTCTTTTCTTTTTCTTCTATTGTATTATTCACTGACGAACTGTTTACTATTTCTAAGGAGGATTTTTCATCCTCTAAATCTAATTTAATTTTTCCCTCACTTTCATTTTCACTTTCTTCAAATGTATCAGTGTCGATTGTATTTCCTTCAATTTTAGTATTTTTATCGTCTGCAGTCATATTAGTTACATCTTCAAAAATAAAAACTGGTTTTTTTCGAAATTCAGTATTAGAAATTTAGGTATCCGCTATATATAGTTATTACGATTTAAAAAGAGGTTAACAGTTTTATTCCTTTGGTTTTTAGATTAGTTATTGTTTTGGGTGTGGTGCTCTTTCCCATCTCCAAACTTTTCAGAAACATTACTTTTTCTTCTTTTTCTTCTTTTTCTTCTTCTTCCTTTTCTTCATTATCCATCTTTTCCTCTTCATCTTCTACCTTTGTCTCGTTTTTCTCAGTTCGTCTTTTGATTATTATAAAAATATTATAATTTAATATTTCACTTATTTGGATGAAATTAATTGTCTCAAACTCTATTTTTCTAATCATTTTCAATCTGATGCCTTGGACTTTTGTGATTTTTAACAATACGTTCTGCTAGATCAAAAATCAATGGGTTAAAAAGTAAAATTTAAACTTGTTCGTAAGTACAAACAATTGTTCAGAATTTGCAAACTTGTTCATAATTTCAAACTTGCTTTTAAATAAAATCTTGTTACTACAAACATATTCATGAATAGAAACTTGTTCATAAATATAAATTTGTTCATAAATAAGAACTTGTTTATAGCGTGTTCATAAATATTAACATATTCAAAAATGCAAACTTGTTCTTAGATACAATCTTGCTCATAAATGAAACTTTGTTCATAAATGAAACTTTGTTCATAGATAAACATCTTCATAACTACAAACTTGTCACACATACAATTTTGTTCACAAATATAAATTTGTTTGAGAATTCAAAAAAGTCCAAATTTAGCTTAAAGATGTCTGATTTTGTTGCACTTTTTCGTTGGTTGTTGATTGTGCGTGATATATGTACTCTTGAGTTTACGATACAAGTTGTAACACAAGATTCAGATTTGTGGTTTAATGGCTGAACCAGGGAAACATTATTTAACTTTCTGTTCAATGTCACGTCTGGCAATTAACAATACACAATCAATAAACCCCTCCCCCCCACCTCCCTTTCCTGGTCCTTGAACAAAACACTATAAAAATACCCCTCCTCCTCCTCCTCCTCCTTACAGTTTACCATATGGGCCTGATGCAAGGTGTACAAACTAAACCAGAATCCAGTATTATTTAAAGAGAATGTTCGCTAAAAATCTAAAGGGTGTAACAATTAATCTTGTGAAAATTCTATTCGATGTTTCTGCAAAGAGTATTTGACAAAATCTGTCTCAACCAGCCACAAAATTGCTCTGTCTGTACATTCAAGAGAATGTGCAATGTGCATTGTGCAAGTTCCAACGTTTTGGGTCCCTTGGGAACAAAATTAAAATTGAGAACAGATAAAACTGAATATATATTTATGTATATGCATGGGGATCAAAACAAAAAAATTAATTTTTTGTCACAATAAATTTTATAATTATATCTTTGCAAATTTCAAACTTAGACTATTTGATCTAACAGAATTCATAGTTTAAAATATTAATGGTCTATAGCATCGGGTTGCAAAGATAAGAGAATTATAGAAAATCCGTTTTTGTGGCAATAACTCAATTTCTTTTTGTTAAAAACTATTTAGCAAGATTGTGTTGGTTTGAGTCCCTTTAAACTTTTCATAATATTTTTATTTCCTTGGAAGTCTTTTATAAAGAGCCTGTGTTGAAGCTACAGTGTCAAGTGTATTTTCCTGTAAAATATATTCATATATATTGATATCTACATATCTATATTGTTATTTTTTTTTTGATAATTTCGTAATATATGTAAACTGTCTTCATTTTATGCAATTGTAATTGTAAATGCAATTGTAAAAATTATATTATAAATGATAATAATGATATTGATAATAATTTAAAATATGTTAATACTTTTTATAAACTTTTTTAAAAAGATGTAGCAAATATTTGAGAAAGTAGAGAAGACAAGAATGTAATTAAAATACAAAAATTGACTTAAAAAACAGAAAAGACATTATTTACAAAAAATAAGATAATAATGATGAATATAAATATCAAGGGATCATTTTTAACTTTTCATTGAAACTGTTAAAAATGGATTTTAATCATAAAAATTGGAAAAAACTAAAAAATCCAATTTCTTTTAAAACTGAAGGGTGGAATAAGTTTAAAATTGAAGAGTGGAATAAGTTTAAAACTGAAGGGTGGAATAAGTTTAAAACTGAAGGGTAGAATAAGTTTAAAATTGAAGGGTGGAATAAGTTTAAAACTGAAGGGTGGAATAAGTTTAAAATCATATAATATTACCTTGTTAAATTGATAAGCTCTATAAACCCTGACTCCAGGTCCTCCAGGACTGTTTTCTAGATTAAATATTCAGTTTAAAACCTGGTAATAGTGCTTCACACACACATTATAGTTTGAACCTAGCTAGAGTAATTACATAGATAAAGATGGTTCTTCTCTTAATGTTTGCCGGAGGCAGAGCTTCTCTACGGTGGGTATACAGCTTTACGGCGGGTTAAAGAGCAGAGATGGCGGGTTTAAAGAGCAGAGGTGGCGGTTAAAGAGCAGAGGTGGCGGGTCAAAGAGCAGGAGGACTGAGTTTCAAAAGTGAGGCGGGTGGCGGTAAATCGTCGGGTTTAAAAGCTGAAATGGGTGGGTTTAAGAGGAAGGCACGGGGTTAGCTAAGACACGGTGCTGGGTCACATCGCAATGTTGGCGGTTTCCCAGAGCGGCGGGAGTGTATCATTACACACACATGAGAACTTAATAATATTTGGATCCGGATATTAAAATGGTTTGAATATTTAGTTCAGGCTTTCTGCAATAACCTAGATCATGAATATTGAAAACATTGCTTGAAACCAAGATGACCGATTTATGCATTTTCGAAATTTAATCTAAACTAAGTCAAAGTTTATGGAATGTGGACAATATGGTTTAAACAAATATTTTAGAAGAAAACCCGCAACATCTGGTGAAAAAATTTACCATTTAGTCTGTACAGTGCAGAGAGTACCAAGATAACGAGCAAATGAAATAAAGTTTCATCATACCCCCCACCCCGCCCGCCCCCTCGAACTGGTACACCTGTGGTAAGTAGAGGGAGGGTGCAAGGGGTCGGGAGGGGGTGTGGAGGTGAGGGAAGGCCCGCGTGTTTGTACATTTTTACACTCGAGTGAACATTCCGGGGAAATAATGTTTCCCTTGTAAACCGTAATCGAGGTTTGTTTATTCTAAAATTACATACATTACATACATTACATACATTACATACATTACATACTTTACATACTTTACATACATTAAATACATTACATACATTACATACATTACATACATTACATACATTACATTCATTACATACATTACATAAATAGCATTCATTGCATACATTACATACATTACATTCATTACATACAATACATACATTACATACATCACATACCTTACGTTATATACATTACATACATTACATACATTACATACATCACATACATTACATACATTAGATACCTAACATACATTAAACACTTTACATACATTGCATGCATTGAATTTCGGGATATATTTTATGTACATTGTACATTCTTGGTAAAAATAAGAATTAAAATTATAGAAAAGTCAACATTTGTTATGAATTTACCTCAACGCTGTGAATGCATGAAAGAACATTAAGAATTCAGCTTGCAAAATCAAATATGCAATTATGCAAAAATGCAATAAATTGCGTGGGTCGTGTTCAAATAATTCAAGCATTTTTAGGCATTTATTGTTTAAAAAATTTGTCAAGAAAAAAAAATTTACCGTTTATTAGAAATTCCAATGTAAGGAATTGGATTTAAGCAACATTATGTTTAACATCAGATTATGTTTAACATCAGATTATGTTTAACATCAGATTAGGAAAATTTGTTTAACTTTAAACAATTGCTGGGGAAATTACTCGTATGCACAAGCCAAGTATGCAACCGTTAAAAATATTTTCTTTCTTTTTTGTTTATCAGAAGATATTTGATTTTCTAAATTGCATGAAATTTTAAAACTACATAGAAAATTATAAACTTTAATTATGTGAATAAAAATTTTAAATTCTTGTCCAATTACCTTATCAATAAAAAAAACTATCCTAGGAGATACATTTCTTTTTGAAGCAAACAATCTAAAGCAAAATCAAGCCAACTTTTTACCATTTAAGGCCAACCATCCTAAAACAAAGCGTTCCCAACCAAACTAAACCATAGTAAAGCAAACCATCCTAAAACTAACTGTTCCTAACCAAACTAAACCATAGTAAAGCAAACCATCCTAAAACTAACTGTTCCTAACCAAACTTAACCATATTAAAGTAATTCATTCGAAAATAAACTATTCCTAACCAAATAGTCCAAAACCAAACTAAACTAAAATTTCACCGAGGCCAAACCCAAACCCAAACCCAAACTCAAACCCAAACCAAAACCCAAACCCAAACCCAAACCCAAACACAACCCCAACCCCAAACCCAAACTCAATCCCAAACCCAATCCCAAACCCAAAATCAAACCCAAACCCAATCCCAAACGAACAGAAAACAAAAACAGAATTCTACTGACCCAAAATCAAGCAATAGTTCAAATGTAAAATCTAAACAATAAAAAATGTATGACGGAACTAGAAATATTAGAATATAAAACCAAATTCAAAAATCAAAATATAATCCCAAATATAAAATAACTGAGCCCTAATCCCACAAAAAAAACATTTAAACAAAACATCAAAAAAAAACCTTTAAATCGTTTTAAATAATTTTTTCATTTAACTTCACCAAAACAGCGTTGGAAAAGCTCTGAACTGTGTCTTATTTTAGAAAGAAAAACGATTAATTACGATTAAGTTGACAACCTCTTAAAGGAACCCAATGATGATGATTTTAAAACATTTTTTTCAGATTTAAAAATACTCTTTATCCTAAAACCCTACCTGTACTAACTACTGGTGCATCTTCTCTACTGTTGGTTTTAATCTCCGTGTTCTCTTCCTTAAACACTTCTCCGTTCTTAACCTCCTCAATATAAATAAAAACTTCTTTCTCATCCTCTCCTCGATTCTCTCCATCCCTTTCCGTAATTTGATTGTTCAAAGGTTGGAATTTGTTGCTGAGACCCGGAGATAGGGTTGGATTGTGTTTACTAGGGTCTGGAGAAAATCTGGGGTTGAGGTAGGAATTGAAGGCTGTATCCGCACCGTGAACCTTTGTCAGTGGTCTGGGAATACCCTGATATCTGTGTAGTTCATCTCCAGATTGAAGCGGAACTGTTCTTCTCACATTCGGAAAAGGAGGAGGAGTAAAGACTGAAGAAATATAAGTTTCTGTATTCTCTTTCTCCAGTTTATCATTTAGAGAATAAATATTTGAATTAACCAAATTATTTGAAATGCGTTGAGAGACAGAATTAGCGTCTTTTAGCACTGGTTGGTTTGAATTAGAATTGATTTCATTGTGTTGAGTGCTGAGTTGAGATTCTCCGGGATAGGAGTGCGTTTCTCCAGGATAGGAGAGGGTTTCTACGGGATAGGAGTGGGTTTCTCCTAGATAGGAGTGGGTTTCTGCGGGATATGAGTGGGTTTCTCCGGGATAGGAGTGGATATCTCCAGAATAGGAAGGTTGAGAGCCGGAATTGGACGGTTTAGGTTCGGAGTAGGAAGGTTTGGCTCCGGAATATGACGGTATACCTTTGGGGTAGGACGGTGTTTTTCCGGAATAGGATTGAGATAAAGCAGGATGAAATTCGGGTGTTTGGGGATGGGATTGAATTGCTCCGGGTTGGGATTGGAATACTCCGGAGTAGGATTGTGAAAATCCAGGTTTTGGTTTCAGAAAGAGGAGTAGAACTAGATTCATACCGAAGATCATCGGACATCGGCACATTTTCTAAAAATATTAAACATAAAGTATAACAGTCATGAAAATAATTTTAAGAATTGTTAAAAATTATAATAATTCTAAAACAATATAACAATAATCATTAAAGTAGAAATGAAAAATAATTAGTCAATATAATTGAGAATATTGAACATGCTGGGTGCATGAAATATTGCATAGCACCTTGCAAGAAATACTATTTTTCCCCTAGTGGCCTAGACATATATACCTCTACTCAGCAATCTATATTTTATCAAAATTATGAATCAATTATTGAGACTGGGCCAACTTTGAAGTGTAGTGACTAGTTTTATAGGATTTTAGTACAATGCTAATCATGGAAAGAGCCGGAATAATTTTACAATTAATCAGACAACTTTACAATCTTATTTTACAAATATGATTTATGAAACGATAATCACAAATACTCCTAGTCCTGCCTTTTTTGAGCATTTAAAATTGACAGAGATATATTTGTAAAATCGCCTGATTAACTGTCAACTAATTCCGGTTCTTACTGATTATGACTCTGTATGTTATTGTAATATGCTTTTATGATTTCTATGCACAGTGGTCCAGTCGTATAGTATCATGATGTTATATAAAAATATGTGCATAGTTTAGTTTCCTAAAGCACAGTGAGCTAGACAGTGCATACTTTTAGTTTCCTAAAGCACAGTCGGCTGGACAGTGCATACTTTTAGTTTCCTAAAACACAGTGGGCTATACAGTGCATACTTTTAGTTTCCTAAAGCACAGTGGGCTAGACATTGCATAATTTTAGTTTCCTAACGACAGTGTGATAGACAATGCATACTTTTAGTTTCCTAAAGCACAGTGGACTAGACAATGCATACTTTTAGTTTCCTAAAGCACAGTGGGCTAGACAGTGCACACTTTTAGTATTCTAACGCACAGAGGAATAGACAGCAAATATTGCATAATTTAAATTTGTATAACGGACAGTGGGCTAGACAAGGATACTTTTAAATTTCTATATACTTTTACTTCTCTAAATAAAAGTGGAGATAAAGTGCAATCGTATAGCATCATACCATAATGCACACTTGAAGAGACAAAGTATTATAATGCACAGTGGATTGACATATCGTGTTTTAATGCACAGTGGGTTGACATATCATGTTTTAATGCACAGTGGGTTGACATATCGTGTTTTAATGCACAGTGGGTTGACATATCGTGTTTTAATGCACAGCGGGTTGAAATATCGTGTTTTAATGCACAGTGGGTTGACATATCGTGTTTTAATGCACAGCGGGTTGACATATCGTGTTTTAATGCACAGTGGGTTGACATATCGTGTTTTAATGCACAGCGGGTTGAAATATCGTGTTTTAATGCACAGTGGGTTGACATATCGTGTTCTAATGCACAGCGGGTTGACATATCGTGTTTTAATGCATAGTGGGCTATTCATATATATTTAAAGTTGACAATGCATAGTGTGCATGTTGACAATTTAGGTTTCTCTGAGATTTTTCCAGAGAAAACAAAAATAACAAAGAAAAGTCGATTCATAGATAAAAATTAAGCCAATTACAACTTTAACGAAGTTTGCGAAATTAGAAATTAGAAAAAATATTTTTTCAATTTTGTTCAAATAGAAATTTGCAGTAAACGAGAAACTTTGATTGCAGTATAAAAATTGCAAGTCAGCTAAGCAAGCCTAGATAAGACGGATGTGAAAACAAACCAATACATGACCCTCCCTCTCCCCGCTGGCCCCCAAGTTTGTCTTAAATATTCAGTTCCGGTCACTTTTTCTCCTACCTTGTTCCACATTGTTGAGATAGTTCATGTCATTTTAACAGTGTCCAGACAACATTCCCCGGCAGCAGTGCTTGGTTCAGGAGTTGATATCTCCAGGTTCTACTGGAGTTGATATCTCCAGGTTTTACCGGAGTTGATATCTCCAGGTTCTACTGGAGTTGAGATCTCCAGGTTCTACTGGAGTTGATATCTCCAGGTTTTACCGGAGTTGATATCTCCAGGTTTTACTGGAGTAGAGATCTCCAGGTTTTTACTACATACTTCAAGCTCTAACGTTTCATTTTATTTTAAACCCTGAAATTATGAGAAGAATGGATATTTGAAATGTTGACAGTTCAGATTGTTCAGAAATGCAGGGACAGAGCGAACAAAAGTTAGAGAATTTATGTAAAGTCAAGAATGATAATGTAAATCTATAAAATGGAAAATGGTTGTGATGAAAGTGTTCAAAATTTGTTGTATTTTTAATAAATGCTTTAATATGACAAAAATAGGAATGAGGGAAAAAGGAAAATTACGTAAAATACATTTCAAAAGTTCTGAAGTCAATTTTCTAGAAAATTCTATATTTCTGAGACAATTTTGTATTTGACTAAATGTATAATTTCTCCCCATTAACCCCGGTCATTTACAAGTGTAATTAGACCAAACCCAACCAGTGATTATGAATCGATTAATGGCTGAGTATCTACGGGTAATTACAACTTTTAAACCTTGGATAATTTCAAGGGTTAGATAGAAATATATCTAAAATAGGAGGAAACAATTTCACGTTTTAAAATCAGCGCCATTTTTTTCAGAATTAATCGTTCACGTGTAGAGGGTATTTAGTTTTATGATGATTTTAATTCTATAATTTTTTCAGATTATAGTTTTATTTTCAGACAATAACATTTTATCCCGGCTTTATAAGGTTCCCAAGCTTTAATAAAATTTAAATTCTTAAAGGAATAGTTTACAAATTTTGAAAGGGATGAAACATGTTTAGGAATTGATCAATAAAGTATTTGTTTTGAAATAATGTAAACAATAAACATTCTTCAATAAATAAAAAAGGAAAAAATCTGAGAAAACTACCTAAAATTGATTAACAGTCCCTCTAAAATTCAATGAAATGTTGCAATGAAAGAATTTAATGTTACGGGTGACATTTCTTTATGGTATAATCATGAGAAAAATTGTTTAAACACAACACCACGCGTTCACATTAATTACTAATTACGGTCAATTTAAAATAACAAAATTTACGAAAATAAAACATTATATTGACCTTGATGAAGCGTTCTTTTCCCCCCTCCCCCCTCCTACAATACCCATTGCGTTGAAATACATTCTTGAGGCAATTGTTTATAGTACTTCTGAAAGGTATCAATATAAATGGTTTAAATTAAAACTTGAGTTAGTTTGATCTTGCCCAGTACAATGACAAACATTTAATTGTTTAGTTTAAATACAGAACTAAACAAATCGTTATAAACATTATTTAAAAAAGTAGTATTGCCGAAATTAAAGTTTTGTTTTCTCACTTTTGATCTGCAAAAAAATTGAAAGGGATAAACCATAAATGAATTATGAATTAAAATATGAAATAATTTACTTTTACATATTTTGTATCAGGTTATCCAAAGAACCTAAAAATGTTGTAGAGGCTTTTCTGTGCTTAAGTGGTCAGCGATCGCAAAGCGCTTTTAAATATTGGATATGGTTAAATTCTTTAAAAGGGTCAAGAGCAATATTATCGATCGTTATGTGCATTTACGAACTAAATTTCTTTATGAAGGACAAGCCAGGTTTCAAGTTCTCATAAATGCAATTTCTACTTTTATGCATTTATTTATTTTTGCAGCAATACATTTTAAAATATGCATCCATGTAAAATATCAAAAATTGACATTTTTAACTTCACTGGACTCTTGATAAATTTGTCTTATGCATTTTTAGCATTATGCTTGAAGTTTATGCTCTATAGAACCACTTTTATTGATCTACATATATACTAGAACTCTTTAATTGATCTGTATGTTTCCCAGAGCTCTTTAATTGATCTGTATGTTTACTAGAGCTCTTTAATTGATCTGTATGTTTACTAGAGCTCTTTAATTGATCTGTATGTTTACTAGAGCTCTTTAATTGATCTGTATGTTTACTAGAGCTCTTTAATTGATCTGTATGTTTACTAGAGCTCTTTAATTGATCTGTATGTTTACTAGAGCTCTTTAATTGATCTGTATGTTTACTAGAGCTCTTTAATTGATCTGTATGTTTACTAGAGCTCTTTAATTGATCTGTATGTTTACTAGAGCTCTTTAATTGATCTGTATGTTTACTAGAGCTCTTTAATTGATCTGTATGTATACTAGAGCTCTTTAATTGATCTGTATGTATATTAGAGCTCTTTAATTGATCTGTATGTATATTAGAGCTCTTTAATTGATCTGTATGTATACTAGAGCTCTTTAATTGACCTTTATTTATACTAGAGCTCTGTAAATGATCTGTATGTATACTAGAACTCTGTAATTGATCTTTATGTCTACTCTAGCTCTGTAATTGATCTTTACGTCTACTATAGCTCTGTAATTGATCTGTATGTCTGCTCTAGCTCTGTTATTGATCTGTATGTCTGCTCTACCTCTGTTATTGATCTGAATGTTTATTAGAGCTCTGTTATTGATCTGTATTTATACTAGAATTGATCTGTATTTATACTAGAACTCTGTAATTCATCTGTATGTATACTCGAGCTCTTTAATTGATCTGTATGTATACTAGAACTCTGTAATTTTATCTGTATGTCTACTAGAGCTCTGTAATTGATCTGTATGTTTACCAGAAGTGTGTAATTGATCTGTAATTTCATCTGTAATTGATCTGTGTGTATGCTAGAGCTTTGTAATTGATCTGTATGTTTACTAGAAGTCTGTAATTGATCTGTAAATTTATGTATAATTGATATATCTGTTTTGGTTGATTAGTTTGAGGATATCGGAGATTATCTGATATTCATGCCTCTCCTCTATCCTTCTATCCGTTCCAGGACAATTCATCTTTTACAAATTCTTATTTCACAGTTAGAATAAATGATCGATATTTCAACAAATTCATATTTAAAAAAGCAGATATGTCGCGGCCATTAAATCAATTATCATTCAAATATTTGATAAAAAGTAAAATCGATGGCTGGAGTGCAACATTCTAAAAGATCAGATTTTAAATTATAATCATTTTTTTTGTGAGGAAAAATTTTCAGTTACAAGAGGTAATTTGCAGAAATGCATTAAGGTTCGAAGTTTTACAGTTTGTTAAGAAAATGTAATCGGAAGGTTTGCATTTATTGAGTTTCAGAGAAATATTATTCGGCATATATTAATTTTTACTCGTTATTTCAGAAGTCAGCTGGGATATAATGTTGATTAATTGTTTCAAGGCAAACCTATATTCTAACGAAGAAAACCACTCGCCACAAACTCTAATTTTATAACCCCTATATCTGTGCAACCTGATGTTTTGACATTTAATACTATTTTATTTTGACACAATTTATAGTTTAAAATATCAGATATATTCATCGATATGTTCGATTCTTTAAATAGAAAAATATTTATCCATCTATCTATCTATCTATCAATCTATCTATCTATCTATCTATCTATCTATCTATCTATCTATCTATCTATCTATCTATTATCTATCTATCTATCTATCTATATATCTATCTATCTATCTATCTATCTATCTATCTATCTATCTATTGATCTTTCTCCCTCATTAAGTTACTGCCTTATGATATGTCCTTGTTCCAAGTTGTTTTGATTATGTTAACGTAAATACACTCTAGACATTTACATACATACATACATACACATACATAGTATATAGGGTGGGATGACTGGATGAAAATCATAGGAGCATGTAGTTCTAAGGTCGGGGAAAATACGGGTGAATAGAAATATGGGGTTTGGGGGAGGGATGGTAGGAAAACGATTGATTAGGGTGAACAAAGATAAAAATGTTAATTTACGTCCGTCCTTTGATTAGGAATCTTTATATAAACCTTGCTCTTTTAAGATTACTAGAAATACCAAAAATGGGGGTTTATACATATAAATATAGGTATGTATACATATGCCTACATAGATATATATATGTAGGCACTATAGAGGCCGGGAAATCCGTGTATGAAATGAAATCAGGGTTCAATATTTTTTTTTTTGAAAAACCTCCAACCTCTAATCAAATATCATGTTACCCCACAATTTAGGTAAATTTGATGTTTATAATTAATGAATTTGGTGTTTTTGTGTTTCAGAACAATAAATGATTTTTTGGGGAAATTGTTTCAATCAAAATGTATATGTAATATTTTACACATGAAGGGTGTAAAGAAAGTAATGCATCATTCGAAATAATGTTCTAGATGCGTCAAAATATTGTTTATCAAAAATTTATTTATTTTCATGACCCATATTATATCTTATAGACATATTTTACTCGGTTTGGTTTGGTTTGGGTTGAAAGAAAAATTATGGATTAAGGGAGATATTGGTCGAGCCTAGAGTGACCATAATTATATAATAATGACTGCTGCTGTAAACATAAGGTTACAGATCAACATACAAACTTATCTAACATCCGCATTGCAGGGAGGTAAAAAACGGGTATGTTTAAGTTAGTTTAAACGGTTCAAATGGAGTCAAGAAATGGGTTGCAAATTAAGAGGAGAGAAAAAAGATGAGGACAAAAAATTCTAAAAAGGGGGGGCCGGAGCTAGGTGGAATTATCAGGAAAATAAGTAGGGAAAAGTAAAGAAAGAAAGAAAAAACGAAAGAAAGAGGAGAATAATGAAAGAGAGGAAAAAGAGACAGATTGAGAAAATGGCGAAAAAGAGAAAACTGGTAAAATAACGCAAACCAGAAAAGTATATGACAGAGAAAAAAGAAGATATAATGGTATGAAAGATAAAAAAGAATTATTAGAGATTACACAATTAGGTAACTAATGAATCCACAGAGTGTACACTTGTGTGTAATATATTACACACACAAATATATATATATATATATATATATATTTCATCTATTTTGTAATTAAACGTAATTGTGAACTCCGAGCCGTGAAACAATCATTTAAATTTATTCATTTATACATTTATATTTCCTTATTGTGGAGAACTATGGAGGGTAATTCATAGAATATAAATGTCTTTGATTTCAATAATTCAAAGTAGTTTCATAGAATAGATTAAAAATTAGAATACACAAAAGGAAGAAATAAAGGGGTGATCGTTGAAATTTCTTGTGACCCTTACACGTTTAAAGCTGGTCAGAT